AAAGGCTCCAAAGCTACACAGAGAAACCCTGTCTCAAAAAACCAAAAAAAAAAAAAAAAAAAAAGAGAAAAAGAGAGAGAGAGAATATGGATTTAGGAGAGAAAACACACACAGACACACACACACACACACCTCACACAGATATAGATTCACACACTCTCTTCCCCCCCACACACACACACCCTAAGCACCAAGTGCAATGTACTTATGCTTGCTGTTAAAGTCTAAAGTGTATGTACTACATAGATTCAAAGCAAAGACAAGGGTGGCGAAAAAAGTAGTCATTAAGCTGAGCCTCAATAGGTAGGTAAAACTGAAGACAGAAAACAGATATCTTAGTCTGAAGTTCTTCAAAATGCCTGAAGACACCCTCCTCCCTAAGACCAAAAATCCTTTCATAAGCCTAAGATACTCCTTGTCTTCTCACTTTCATTCAGTCTTCATTGTAAACCCGTGGGGAGTGCAGGAAGCACTGAGCGTGTGAGGTCCTAAGGGAATGTGTGCTGTTGACATGGGCATGGCCATGTCAAGGACTCTCTGTCTCAGCCCCATGGGAGTGGCAAAGCCTTCCGCAGCTGAGAGTCAAAGCCTTCTTCAGGGGTTTGTGTGTGAATGTTGATAGTGTGTACACAAAATGTCCACCATAGCCCCCAACCCCATGTTTACAGTGTGAAGGCTGCTCCTCTACAAAGACTAGTAGTTTAAACCAGTCTCCTTGATCCAATTGTATACTATAAACTGTCTGCTGGCCTCAGCTGTCTAGGTACAACACTTCCTCTCTATTCAATAAGTACATTGAGCTTCCAGCTGCAAGGTTTCTCCATCAGAGCCTGGACCACTCAGTTTTTCTGAGTGTCCATGAGCCTGTGTGTGCCCTTGCAGCTGCTGTCTAGTGACTGGAGCGGTGCTGGAGCCACTTCTGATACAGAAGCAAGATGACAGTACAGCTATTTCTGACAGGTGGCAGTGGTGCACGCCTTGAATTCCAGCACCGGGGAGTCAGAAGCAGGCAGAACTCTGAGTTCAAGGCTAGCCTTGTTTACAGAGTGAGTTCTAGGACAGCCAGGGCTACACAGAGACACCTTGTCTCCAGCCCACCCCCAACAGTGTAATAACAATACTACTCATTCATTTATGAAAAGTATCATTCCTAAAAAGTAGTATTTATGTTGACTGTCATGGAATTATTGACATTTTTGAGTGAACATTCAAACTTTTCAGTTTTACTTCTAACAAAGACTGACAGACACGGCTACATAACCAGAACTTCCCTGAGCTTCAAGCATTTTTCAAAAGTGCAAAGAGACAGTGACATCAAAATCTTCAGACTCAAAGAGCTCCTTGTTTTCAGTGGCACATGGGGAACTAGCCTAGACTTCCTATAAATAACATTAAAAGTATTAGAAAGGAGGCCTTGCATCATGTGAAGTGTGCTTATGGAGCTTGTACTGGCTTTCTTCTCAGTGATTATTTCAACTTAGTGTAAAATCACAAAAAGAATTTGCTTAATATCTTTCTTTCCTACCCAAAGAATGACAGGCAACTGAGAAAGGAGACCCTCCCCAGGGATGAACACATCAACTGGTTGTCCCGTGACAAATGGTCAGCCCTGAAAACATACATACAGGTAACATCAAATAGGCTCAAAAGGGAATATTTGGGAATGTATATGTATATACAAATACATATATACATTCTATAACAACTTATGAAAAAAATGGCCATGAATTTGAAGGAGAGCAGGGAGGGGTTTGCAGGGAGGAAAAGGAGAGGAGAAATGTTGTAATTAAATACAATTTCAAAAGTAAACAAAGAAAGAAAAAAATCATTCTTTTCCTCCTACGCAAGCACATATCCTTTTGGATTATGATATGTGGCATTTTACCTGGATAAAGACTTCACAAATATCACTTAATAACTGCATGACAGCAGCTATTAATAACTCATTGACAGAAATTCTCATTTATTTTATTTCCAAAGTATTTTCTTAAAATACATTGAAACTTCATACCACAGTATGGCAGATTTCTTCCAACATGCCATGGGGTCTTATTCAAAACTGAACCTGCCTAAGCTACACAGTACCTGGAACTTTTGGAAACCATGAATTCAAACCTGTCTCATTGTGAAAGTCTCCTTACTCTTAAGGTATCTCGAAGTCCAATTTCCTAGGTGCTACTCAAGGCCCCTCAAGCACAACTGAGGCTTAGGCTCCCACCATCTCAAGTAATTTCTTTTATCTCCATCAGGCCACAATGCATCCTGAACAATTGGGCCCCAGTGAGTGGCACCTAAGTTGCATATGGTCATGGCATTCTATCACAGCATTAGAAAAAGAACTAATCCAAATATGAAGCTCTCACAAACTCTCATGCACTTGGCTTGCACCCCAGTGAGTGCTGCTATTTGGGATGTGCTAGCAACAGAAACTTTAGCAGGGGAGGAAGTTGGTCACTGTAAACAACATGTTCTTGTGGGTTGTATCTTACCCTGGCTCCTTTCTTTCTGCTAGGTAGCCACTATAAGGTAGACACCTTTCCCGTGGCACACACTCATACCACAGTGATATTCTGACTCAAAAAAAAAAACAAAAACAAAACAAAACAAAAAAAAAAAACGGCATGTGGTGGTGGTGCAGGCCTAACCAGCACTTGGGAGACAGAAGCAGGTGGATCACTGTGAGTTCAGGGCCAGCCGGGTCTACAGAGTCAGTTCTAGGACAGCCAAGGCTACAGAGAGAAACCCTGTCTTGGGGGAAAAAAAAACCCAACTTATAGTGATGTTCTGACTCAACATAAGTCCATAACAATGGAGTAAGCTGATTATAGACAAATGCCTCTGACACCACAAGATAATAAGGGAATAAAATAAATCCTCTCACAAGTTGTTTCTCTCAGGTTTTTGTCACAGCAATGAAAAACTAACATATTCCCTTCCTAATAGTCTTGCTGCAATTGAGTATTCAAGAAATCTGAAAACTGTATAACTATTACACTGGCTTTATTCTTTACCTTAGGGAACCTAAGGTAAGAAATGAATAAGAAAATGGGTTCCTAATCACTGCTGGCATCAAATGACTGCATGTGTCCTTAAGGCCACAAAGCAAATGCAATGTGAGGTTCTCAGGAGACAGCAGTCAGGCTGATTCAGTTGCTGAAGCACTCAGGGTCTTTCACCGCATCTCCCCTGGTTCCTTGTTTCAGTAGAAACTGAGCCATGACTGGTATACCTGAGACCAAGAAGGAATCCTGCAAATGCTTGTCAAATGAGTTAAATAGAGAAGTAATAAAATTAATGATTTCCTTTGCTGTCCAGAAGCCTGGACTTAATCTCCCCCTCCTCTGACTTCACCTCTTCAGAGTGATAGGGGGCTAACCAAGACAACTACAGCTACAGACTAGAATACAATTGGAAACTATGAGTTTTTTTTAACTGTTGTTGTTTTTTTTGTTTTTGAATTGTCCAACAACTAAAAGGTTGAGGATGTAGCTTAATGGTGGAGTGTTTTCCTACCCTGCACAAGGCCCTGGGATCAATCCCAGCACTTTTATTGTAAATATATTTTTATAAAGCTTTCCCACTGCTGGTTCTACATTCCAAGCAGTTCAGTTCTTCACAGGCATCTAAAGGACCAAGGAGGTAGTTGGGGGGGGGGGGGGGGGGGGGGGGGGGGGGGCGCGAGGGTAAGAGGATATGCTGTTGAGTCTGTTGAGCTTGGTCCCCAGACACATGGTAAAAAGGAAGAACCAATTTTCACAGGTTGTCCTTGGGCCTCACACAGGTACCCTGGAATGAGTATCTACACATGCACTGACTCCTCTCTCCATGTGGGTCCCAGGGTCCCAAAAGTATCAGAGAAGACAGAAAAGCATCTTTACCCACTGAGCCATCTCACAGTCCCAAATAGATGCAAATACTTGAAAACTTAAAAACTGGGGCCAGAAAGTAAACTGAAAGGCAACTTGACCCCTGAACAAGAAGTCTGGCCTATATTTGAGTAGCTAGGATCAGAAAAAAAATGCAATTATGCAACACACAATAACAGACCGAAGTTCCAAATATGTGTGTCAGGAACAAGTCCAGTATTTTCACAAACATTACTTCTAAATCTTCACAAAGTATTACTGTCAAGCTTCACAACACTCCTCAAGACCGAATTCTTTGTTTTCTGTTTTTTTTTTTTTTTTTTTTTTTTTTTTTTTTTTTTTTGGGTTTCTCTGTATAGCTTTGGAGCCTATCCTGCCACTCGATCTGGAGACCAGGCTGGCCTTGAACTCACAGAGATCTGCCTGCCTCTGCCTCCCAAGTGCTGGGATTAAAGGCGTGCGCCACCAACACCTGGCTTAAGACCGAATTCTTATCCCACTTTTATCATAAGGAAACTAAGGGGTAGAAGAGAAATTCAAACTAGGACTGTTACATATTACAGCTTCTGCTAGCTACATACTTCTGTTTCTCACATTAGAAATATCCATACCTAACATGATACAATAGCAAGATGAGACTGCTGCCTAGGGATGTATGAAAGTATTTTACTGAAATTACAGAATGAGAAAAGTCTAGTGAAATCAAAGATGTGATTTGTTTTGTATTTGAGGTAGGTTCTCAACATGTAGCCCAGATGGACTGGAACACCCTATGTAGACCGGGATGGCCTTGAATGCACACAGATCTGCCTGCCTCTGCCTCCTGTGTGCAGGGGTCATAGGTATTCTTTTTTTTTTTTTTTTAAATCCCCACCCTCAGCCCCAAAGGTATTCTTTATGACCTCTTTATGCAGAGTATAAACCTTTCTTTTCTTTTCTTTCTTTCTTTTTTTTTTTGGTTTTTGAGACAGGGCTTCTCTGTGAACTAGCTCTTGTAGACCAGGCTGGACTCCAACTCACAGAGATCCACCTGCCTCTGCCTCCCGAGTGCTGGGACTAAAGGTGTGCACCACCACTACCCGGCTTACAAACCATATTTTAACCTAAATTGCTTTAACAAATTTCTTAAGTTACCTGTTTGTGTTTTAGAAACATGTTTCTGGAGAAAGTCAACTATCTGAGCCAAAACCTTCTTGTTACACTGTGTCAATAATTTTTCATTACATTCATAACACCTGAAAAATATAAAAGGCAAGCCAATGTTATGAAAGCACCTTCAATAACTACATACAAGGTACATACTTAATAATTCTGTCTTTAATTACACAGAAATAGGGAACCCAAAGCAAGGGATAGATCACACAGATCCTCACCATTCAAATTTTGCAGTTTGTCTGAAATGTAATAGAATGTTACAAGCTTTCAGGCACTGTAGTTATACAGCCTAACTTATACATGTACCCAATTTGCGTGTGTGTGTGTGTGTGTGTGTGTGTGTGTGTGTGTGTGTGTGTGTGTGTGTATAAGTGGATTTTTGTTTTGGGCAATATCCAACAGTACACAGGAGGCAGAGGCAGGCAGATCTGTGTGAGTTCAAGACCATCTGGTTCAGTTCCAGAACAACCAGAGCTACGTAGATAGACCATGTCTCAAAAAACAAGACAAAACAGCAACCAAAGTAGGATCTCTCATATAGCATTTGCTGTCCTAGAACTTACAATGTAGACTAGGCTAGCCTGTAACTCACAGAGGTCAACCTGCCTCTGCCTCCCATGTGCAGGAATTAAATGTGTGCATCAGCATGCCTGTTTTTTTTTTTTTTTTTAAGTCTTATTTATTTTTATTTTATGAGTGTGAGTATTTGTCTGAATATATGTCTGTGCACCATGTGCATGCATTACCTAAAGAAGCTAGAAGAAGGCATCAGCTCCCTGGGACTGGAGTTACAGACCATTGTGGGTGCTGGGAATTGAACCCGAGTCCTCTGGAAGAACAGCCAATACTCTTAACTGCTGACCCATCTTTCCAGCCCTGTAATACACACTCTTAACCTCAGAACTATTTCTTTAGCCCCTGTTTTTAGTCTTTCTAAGACAGGGCTTATCTATACAGCCTAAGCTAGCTTGGAACTCACAATCACCTGCCTGTTTTTCCCCAGTGCTGTGATTACAGTTGTAAAACACAATACTTAACTCCAATAATATTTTAAGAACAGGACCATGCAGGTTAGAGAGTCCCTGAACCACCTGAGTGCTTAAAGTACCTTCTTCTTAGGATGCTGGGATTCTGTATTAGTTCATTACAGAAAATGCAATGAGACAGATTTCTTTTCCTTATGGTACAAAGAAAATGTGAAAGATAAGTAGGGTTTTTGTTTTGTTTTTAATTTAAGCCTTATGTTTGTGGATTAAATTATTATTATTATTATTATTATTATTATTATTATTATTATTATTATTACACTTGTCAGGTAGCAGTGGCATATGCCTTTAGTCCCAGCACTTAGGAGGCAGATGCAGGCAGACCTCTGTGAGTTCGAGGCCAGCCTGGTCTACAGATCTAGTTCCAGGATAGGCTCCAAAGCTACAGAGAAACCCTGTCTCAAAAATATATAAATCATCCCACAGATTGTGTACAAGAGAAAAACTTATACATTGGTATTACATTTTTATTTTACCTTGTAAAGCTCAGTATTTTTAGTAGATAAAATACTAGTAAAAGTTAACTTACCATATGGTCCAGCTACTCAGGCTAATGACAAAAAAATGGGAATCAGTCCCAAGGCTCTGGAAATGTCTCAGTGAATGCTGGCTTTCTGAATTTTTACCACATCCCTGAAGATGAACAAAACGTTATCTGTATGAGTCACACATAAGTTTCTTTCAAATTGATCATATCTTAAATTGTACTTAAGCACAGTTTTTGTTTCAAGCAAGAGGGAACAGTTTCAAAGAGCAACATAGATTTTTACCAAATTTCATTATTTGTAAAGTAGATAACTTAATGTTCACTATGTATTTACCTGTAATAACCACAGGTGATTACTTTCTCTGTCATTTAGGAAGGCATGCACTCCCTGTCTCGAACATTATATACTGTGGAACACTGAACATCCAAGAGCCCAGGGGTTCCCTCCCCTAACACTTATTTCCTAATCCTCCACCCCAAGCCCACTGGAAATGGAAACAGGGCCAGTGTGGTAAAATCCCCCACTAGATAAGTAAGGGAACGATTATTACATGGGAGAAAGAGTTTAGGAAAGTGTCATATTTCTGCAAAAAGAAAGGGATATACTATTCCTTCTTCATGAGCTTTGGAGATTGCTGTGTGACACATAATGCCTGAATCATCTCCAGTCTCTAAAGCCAAGAAGCTAGAGATGACACAGTAAAACAATAGAAGTCTTGATTTTGAAAGTTTCTTTCTCTTGAATTAACTGATAGCTCTGAAGTGACTTGATTTCTGTATTTAATTATTTTATTTATTTATTTATTTTTAGTTTTTTAAGACAGGGTTTCTCCAAGTAGCCCTGGCAGGCCTACAAATAGCTCTGTAGAACAAGCTTTGAACTCAAAGATCTACCTGCCTCTGCCTCCCAAATACTGGGATTAAAGTCGAAAATCCCTTTATTAGGGTTGGTGAGATGGCTCAATGATTAAAGGTACCCGCTGATATCCACAAATGTGTTGTGACATGTGTGTGTGTGCGCTCGTGCAGTAAATTAATAATAATAGTAATAAATAGGATAAAAAGGCACGAAAAGGGGAATCCAAAAGATTATATTCATTTACCACAATTCAGAAAAAAAGGACAAAACAAGTCCAGATATAAGAACAAGTGCATTAGATTCCCTTTCAAACTATTTATGAACTACACATGGTTACTTTCTAAACACAGCACATATTTACTTAATCCTAAACATTCCTAAGTCTATCTTGGCACAGCAATCTAAACATGAGATGAATCTATTTTAAGGCCTATATTACCAGAAGTCCAACTCATAGTAGGCATTTTAAAGATAAAAATTGAAGACATACATATAAATGACACCTTTCTTACCTGAAAACCACACTTGAGGCACAACCAAACATCAGAAGGAAGTACCGGCTGTCCATCACAGAATCTTCTCTCTTTCAAACACTCTGAACAAACTGACCACAGGTTCTCAGCTACTGCCTTCTTCACATGATTCACACTGACAGCATGACTGACGTGCTGGCATGTTAAACCTACTGGATAATACAGGGCAAAATGAAAACATTTTCTCTGCTAGGCAAAAACATTACCATTAGCAAGAATGCTGGTTAGTTTATTAACTTGATACAAGCTGGAGTCATCTGGATAGAACCTCAATTGAGAAACTGTCTCCATCAGACTGCCTGTAGGCAAGTCTGTCTGTAGGCAGTTTTTTTGGTTAATGATTGATGAGAGAAGGTCCAGCACACATAGGCAGTGCCATCTCTGGGCAGGTGTTCCTGGGTTGTATAAGAAAGCAGGCTTAGCTAGCCAATGCAAACAAGCCAGCATATAGTGTTCCCCCATGGCCTCTGCTTTAGTTCCTTCTTCCATGTTCCTGCTCTGACTTTCTTCATGACAAATTAGAAACCATAAGCTGAAATAAGCCCTTGCCTCCTCAAGTTGCTTCTGGTCATAATGTCTGTCAAGGCCCAGAAAGCAAACCAGGGCAGTCAGCAAAAGTCTGCATCATTAAAATGATACTAAATAAAAAGCACAAATTCAGCCGGGCGGTGGTGGCACATGTCTTTAATTCCAGCACTCAGGAGGCAGAGGTAGGTGGATCAACAAAGTAACTCATAAAGATACATAATTGCACCAATGCATACACAAAACATTCTAGAAATGAAGTAATTACAGAAGAGATTAGTGGTTTCTAGGAGCTATGGGTGAGGACAGGGGTATGGATACAAATAGGTAGCACACAGGATGGTGATAAGCATGGCTCACTGACATATACAAAACCACACACATAATAAAACTGCAAGTGCACACACACACTCCAACACACATACAAAATGTGATATCTCAATAAGTTAAGGATGGTTCCATCAATTTTGATATTGTATTATAGCAATGCCAGATGTTAACATCAGGTAAGGACAAGTGAAGGTTAAAAGAGATCTCTATATATCTCTTTATATCTTCATGTTAATCTAAATTGGTCCTGAACTAGAAATACAAACAAGATTAATTAATATTTACTAAGCCAGGTTTAATGGTACAAGCCTTTAATCCCAGCACTCTAAAGGCAGATCTCTTGTGAATTGGAGGCCAGCCTGTCCTACATTGTGAGTTTCAGGATAGCCAGAGATACATAATAAGACCCTCTCTGGGAAACAAAAAAGATTTTTAAAAGACTATTTCCCAAACAGATACAATGTATCAATCACTTTGAATGTCTTTTCTGTTCACTAAGCAGTTCCTGCTCTTTTCTTTCACAGGACTGGAGTTCAGCACCCACATTAAAAAGCTCACCGTATCCTGTAATTCCAGTTCTTAAGGAACACAGAACTTTTTTCTGACCTCCACTGGCACCATTCACTACCATTCACTATGACATTCACTGACACATGGAAGTAAATATGTGTGACACACACTATAAATAAAAATTATTTTAAAGAGGTATCCATATGGTTACTCTCCAGTTCTACAAGAAATAGCAGGAAAACACATATTTAGACCAGGAGAGTAGCTCACAGATAGTTGTGCTTAGCATACAGCACCAGGCCCTGGGCTAAATAAGATAAAATAAAAAAGATACATAAATCTTTTCACATACATTCATTTTGCTATGTTCATCATTGTTAGGATAAAGTGGCATAATTTACAGGAAGCAGTTCTTTTTTTTTTTTTCAGAGACAGAGTTTCTCTGTATATCCCTGGCTGTCCTGGAAACTTACTCTGTAGACCAGGCTGGCCTTGAACTCAGATATCCACCTGCCTCTGCTTCCCGAGTATTGGAATTAAAAGTGTACACCACCACTGCCCAGCTTCAGAATTCTTCTTGAATATTCCCACATACTAAAAATGTTTTGCCTAGTCCCTAAACATTACTTATAAAAGTTTCCATTATATATGGAGACAAATGGCTAAAACTAAGCACAAATAAAACATCTTCAAATATTATATTCTCCTCCCAAGGGCCCAGGTAATACTTACATTGTCCTCAAATACCTGAACACTTTAATTTCTCTACCTCAGACATCCACATCAAAATTACATTTACAAATCCACAACTGTCTACTAATTAACTAGATAGGTTAGTTGTGCAGCTAGCTGTACATTAACTATTCAGACATGAATGTCATTCCTCACTAGGTATTTACAATGAAACATATAAAACATTAAAATTCTTAATTCCACATCAAGGGCAAACCATAAAAACAGACATGAAGCCGGGCAGTGGTGGCGCACACCTTTAGTCCCAGCACTCGGAAGGCAGAGGCAGGAGGATCTCTGTGAGTTCGAGACCAGCCTGGTCTACAAGAGCTAGTTCCAGGTCAGCCTCTAAAGCCACAGAGAAACCCTGTCTGGAAAAACCAACAACAACAACAACAACAAAAAAAAAAACCAGACATGAAAGGATTGGTTCTGGGAGCCTGGGGTTGTATCTCAGTTGAATGTTTGCCTGGCATGCACAAAACCCCAGCTTTAGCCCCACTACCCTATAACACAGTATAATGGCACAAGCCTACAATCCATCCAAACACCCAGATGGTAGGAGCATCTGACTTAGCCTCAGCTACACAGTGAGTTTGAGGGCTAGCCGGGGTTAGAGACCATGGTTCAAAAAAAAAAAAGTAATTCTGATGTATATTCAGATAGCAAGGACCATGTCATTAAAGAAAGAAAGAGCTTACATACATTAGTCTGTATGAATTTTATAATTTAAAATTCTGAAGTGAAAAGTCATTCTATCCTATATATCTTCTCCATAATCCATAGGATGGGTTCTGACCAAGATGACGTAAATATTCTGATGCTGCCATTCAGACTTCTAAAACTGAAATCACTGGTAACCTTAGAAATCAGTGGATGGGCCAGGTGGCCATGGCACACACCTTTAATCCCAGCACTCGGAGAAGGAGGTAGAGGCAGAGGCAAGATGATCTTGGTGAGTTTGAGGCCAGCCTAGTCTACAGAGCGACTTCCAGGACAGTTAGGGCTGTACAGAGAAACCCTTTCTTGAAAAATCAAAAGAAAAAAGAAAGAAATGCAAGTCCTAGCGGGGTGGTGGAAGGAAGGAAGGAAGGAAGGAAGAAAAGAGGAAGGAAGACAGCTCTGTGGGCTGGGCATGTGGCTTGGTGGTAGAATGCTCAGCTAACACATGCAAGCCCTGGGGAACTAGGAATGTAACCCTGTTTCAACCATATCACTATAGAAATGAAAGGAAAAGGAGAAAGAAGGTGGAAGAAGAAATGGGGGAGGGGAGGACAGTAGTGAGGGGAAGGGGAGGATGGGCCAAGCAAGTCCTACAGTTAACAAAACAAAAAGTTTTACCATCTATCGACCTCTTAATTTTAATGAGCCATGAGGAAAGACAAAAAACAATGTGACAATTTTAATTTAATAATTTTAAGTTTTAATAACTTAAAACAAAATCCCAATACAGACGCTAACAATGGTTTTGAGGGGGAACTAGACCAACTAGTTCTCAGATTTATGCAGAAAATAGTGAAAATATAGTACTGAATTTAGTGACTGAAAAGCATCTGTTATTCCTCCTTTATCCCCGCCCCCACCGCCCTCACTCTCTGAGATGCCAGATACCACAATTTACCAGCAATGTCATCTGAAGAATCTTCGTCATGAGGTAGCAAGGGTCTTTTATTTCTTTTGCCTTTCTCAGGTAAATCTTTTGATGGATCCTTCACCCGCATCTGTTATCTACTGAAAAGTTCAAAGAAAAATAACAATATTTTAATCTTCAAAATTAAACTTTTATGTATTTAATGCATATCCAAACTCAATTGATATATAAATCAACAGAAGAAAAATAAGGGATACAAATCAGGTAAACAAACCTTTAAACCAATACACAGGATTGAGATTACAACTCGGTGAAAGAACATGAATGAAACCCTGGGTCCTAACCCCAGGACCAACACACACACACACTCAAAGGTCAATACATAAATGATACATTTCAGCTACACTGTTATAGACTGTTCTTACTCCCCAAGTGTCTCAAAATCCCTCTACTTAAATCTAATCCACACTATGACAGTACCTGAAGTTGAACCCTAACAAGAATTAGGTGAAAGAGTGAACCATGCATTTATGTGAGGAAACAAGAAATCCAAGACAAATAGGTCTTTTTTAAATTGGGGTCTACCTTACCCTTGCTTGTAGCAAGGATAGACAAGATCTGTCAGCACCTTCAGCTTGGATTTGCCAGCCTTCAGTACTAACTAACGTTTGCAGTTAAGCCACTCTGTGGACAGTAATTTTTTTTTGTCCCCTCCCCACAGCATCCCTGCATGCATGATATCTCAGAGGGAAAATTTTCATCAAGGAAATAAGTGCTGCTTCTTATAATGGGTTTCCTCACCCTGTCATCTATGCTGACAGTGGTAGCTGGAACTCACACTGGAGCAGAGAAACTATAAACATAAGAGTCAGGAACCCTAATCGCTCTACTACCTAGTGGACTATTGACAGAAAAATTAATTCCTACTTTTAAGTTGCCATATTTTCTCTCCAAGTTCTGATTATGAATCTTTTTTTAAATCTACAAAAGTTAAAAGAATCATATAGTGAGTACTCATGCAGTGTCTAGATTATGTATGTTTTACCATTTTACTATACTTGTTTTATCTAAATATCAGCATAAAAACATACAATTTTTTTTGTTGTTGCTGTTTTGTTTTTCCAAGGCAAAGGTTTCCCTGTGTAGCTTTGGCTGTCCTAGAAATCAACTCTGTGGACCAAGCTGGCACCAAACCATGACCACGTGGAGATACATGGGTTAATAGAAATGAGCTAATGACTAAGAGAAAGCTAGCCAATAAGAAGCCTGAGCCATAAGCCAAACAGTTTATAATGAATATAAGCCTCTGTGTGTTTATTTGGGACTAAATGACAGAACAGAAACTTCCATAAACACACACACACACACACACACACACACACACACACACACACACACACACGTGTTTTAGATGAACAAAAAACCGTCATTTTCTCATGTATTCAGAAAGTCTTAAAAGAAAGTATCCTGGGGGCTGGAGAGATAGCTCAGAGGTTAAGAGCACGTGTGTGTGTGTGTGTGAGCATAGTGCTTTAAAAAAAATAAAATAAGGAGGGTTGGAGAGGTAACTCAGTGGTTAAGAGCACTGGCTGTTCTTCCAGAGGACCCGAGTTCAATTAACATGGCAGCTCACAGCTGCCTGTAACTCTAGTTCCAGGAGGTCTGAGATCCTCACACAGACATGCATGCTGGAAAAACATCAATGCATATAAAATAAAGATAAATAAATTACTTTAAAAAATAAGAAATTTTCCTACATGGCATCACTATCATATCTAGGAAAAGTTTTCCTAATATCTTTTATCCTAACATAGTCTAATTTCCTTATCTGACTCAAGTATATTCTATAGAATATAGATGGATGAAGATTCAATCATTATTTGTACTTCATCTGTTACAGTTCTTCATTTTTAATTCTGCTTTCCCATATGAATTTTTTAAAAAGTATGTGCGATCTCCAGAGTGAGTGCCAGGATAGGCTCCAAAGCTACATAGAGAAACCCTGCCTCAAAAAAACAAATAAATAAATAAATAAATAGTATGTGCGAGGAATAGTATATGTAGGTGTCCTTGCTAACACACCTCAGCAAATGTTTCTATGTTAGACCCCCGAAAACTCAAGTATCCGGGGTCCCAGGCCACGTTCGCGGTCACCCCAATCACCAGGCGGATTCGCTGCAAACTGCACGAGGCTTTATTGTAATTTAACGAGCTAACCCCATGTTAGCTCGGGTCTTTCACCCACCAGCC